ACAGGCAGGCAAGGAAGGGAGACACAGAAGGGGAGAAAGGCGGAACAAAAGGGCCAGGAGTGAACGAAGGAGACACAAAGGGACGAGGAGCAGAGACAGGCGGGACAAAGGGAAAGGGGGGAGGAAAAAGGGGAGCACGAAGGAGCCCAGGCGGGCGACGGGCAGCGGCTGGAGGGGCCGCAGGGGAGAGGGAGGAGGGAGCAGGAGGGGACCACCCAGGGGCCAAGGGAACGGGACGAGGGAGTGACGGAGGGGACACGGAGGGAGCAGGAGGGAACACCAGTGAAGGCAGGCAGGAGGGGGAAGCCGTGGCAGGCGGAGGCGCAGCAGGAGCCGGCGAAGGCGCCGTCCGACGCTCAGCCGGAGCAGGGGGGCCCGGAGGCGGCCGACATGGACCCGGAGGCGGGACCGAGGACCGGCACCGAGGATCCAGGGGGGGACCCGGAGGGGACCGCCGACCCTGAGCCGGAGGACCCGCAGGCAGCCACCGAGCCACCGCCAGGTGCAGAACGGGCAAGCCAGGGGGCAGGGCGGGCGGGCGGGACGCGGGCCCTACGCCTATGTCCCCTTCCCTTGCTGGATACTGAGAGGCGGGGTCCTGGGGGGCATCGGCCTTGCCGGGGTAAGGGCGAGGGAGTCAGAGCCTCCCTGGGGGCAACAGGCGTGGCCGTAGGCGGGGCAGCCAAGGCCGCGGGCAGGATGGGAGAGGCGGCCTCGGACGGGGCCGCGGGCAGGACGGGAGAGGCGGCCTCGGACGGGAGAGGGGGCCGCGGGCGTGTGGCCAGCAGGGGGCGCCTCGGCGGGCGTCGCCGGCACGTGGTCAGCAGGGGGCGCCTCGGCGGGCGCCGCCATCACGCGGCCAGCAGAGGGCGCCGCAGCGGCAGGCCAGACAGGCAGTGCAGACGCCGGCAGGACAGGCGAGACGGGCAATTCAGACGGGTCAGGAGCCGGCAGGACAGGCGAAACCGGCAGTTCAGGCTAGTGGCCAGCAGGGGGCGCCGCGGGCAAAGCGGCGTCGTTCTCTGGCGGTGCGGCTGCAGGTAAGCAGGGCTGACCGGGCAGGACTGGCGAGCAGGAGCAGGGCTGGCAGGACAGGAGCGGCGGCCTCAGGCGGGGCCGCGGGCAGGACAGGAGCGGCGGCCTCAGGCGGGGCCGCGGGCAGGACAGGAGCGGCGGCCTCAGGCGGGGCCGCGGGTGTGTGGCCAGCAGGGGGCGCCTCGGTGGGGGCCGCGGGTGTGTGGCCAGCAGGGGGCGCCTCGGTGGGGGCCGCGGGTGTGTGGCCAGCAGGGGGCGCCTCGGTGGGCGCCGCCGGTGTGTGGCCAGCAGGGGGCGCCTCGGTGGGCGCCGCC